GGGGTCGCCGTGGACGAGCTCCCGAAGACCCCGCGTGGGCTGGGCTTGCCAAGGGCCCGGCTGGAGGGCACCACGTCGCGGCTGGGCAGGATCGGGAGCTGGAGCAGGAAGATGCTCCCCGAGCCCACGTCCCCTCGGTGCCAGCGATGGTTTCCTTTGCTCCCGCGGGGCAGAGCGCAGCCCAAGCAGGATTTCCTGCGGAGTTAGCAAACGTGGAAAAGGGGCTCCTTTTCACTGGAGGGGGGGCTTCCCCACGCAGAAACGAGGGAGGTGGCGAGGCGCCTTGCAAGAGCCATGGAAACGCACGCCGAAGCCGTGGAGAGGGGGCGGGGGGGGCGCCTTCCTTTTCAGCGATTTCCTCGCGCTGGTGTTTGTGTGTTTTCGATATTTCCCTGTGAAACCCTTTAAAGAGAGAGCGATCAACGTCCCCGCCCCCCCCCCTCCCCGCCCCCCGGGGACAAACGCCGCTGCCTCAGAAAGAGAAGAGAGAAAGCGGTCCTCTGCGCTCTCGAGGCGAGGGCCGCGGCTGCCAGAACAGAGCCCATAAAAAAGTTAACAATGCTGTGAAAATATGTTTGCAGAAAATAGACAATTGTTGGATTAGACGTATTCAAGTATGAAATAATGCCTTTTTGTGTAAAAACTTCAGCAATGTGCGCGTACAAAAGTTCCCTGTGGCAGTTACTTGCTTCCTTTGTGAGCTTTTTGCGCTCTGGCGTCTCCACTTGGCGCGTTTAACTCAGAGCCCTTTAAACGCGATTGTTTCTTTCTTTTTAATGACATTTACCGGATCAAAACATGCTGTTAATTCGATCAGAAAGCTTTACCCTCCCTAACAATGCCACAATAATTTCTCCTGAAGTTTGTTAAATTGACCAAAATTAGGCAAATGAATAGGGGGTCTGTAGGCGACCCCTCTTGCAGGTGACACCGCATAATGCACTCTAAGACCAGCTGCGATCCTCTCTTTATTTGCCCCTCTTTTCTTTGACCCGCATTATTAAAATTTAGGCCCAATGAAACTATTCATACTTTTCAATGGGACATTTTCCTATAGGATAATAGGCTACAAATTGAGCCTCTCCAAAGGGGGGGAGGAAGGGGCTGAATCGACAACCCCCAGACACACACCACACAGAAAGGGCCGTCGTGTGCCAAAGGCTTGGCGGGAGCCTCCCCGGGCCCGCGGAGGGGAGGAGAGGAGGGGGGGGGGGGTCGTGTGCCAGCCCCCGGTCCCCACACCTGCCGGGGTGTCCCCGCCGCATAAAGCGGGGTAAACAAAAAGCCTCGCTGCCATCTCTCATAAAGATGGACGTGTCACCAAGTCGTGTGAGAAAAGCCTGAGAACAAACGGGGCCACTCCGTCTCCAAGGGCTCTCCCTTGAACTGGGCGGAACAGCCTATTAAGGGCTTACTTAATTACTTTAATGACTCTGGACAGGCTTTAAAATGCAGTCAGCGCTTGGACAAGGAGAAGGGGGGGCCGGGGGGGACTGCCTGGGATTTGTAAACAGGCGATCGTGTGAGAGACCAGGCGCCCGGGACTTACAGAAGGAGCTTGTGTTCACAGCCTGCCAGCGCGCCACTGCGCTCCGCTCCTCTCGCCTTGCCCCGGCCCGGGCTGTTGCCATGCAAATGGGCTTCTGGGGGCGATCACGTGTCCTTTGAAGGGCCACGTGGAGCAACAAAGCTGAGCTGCCCCCTGCTCGCCCCCTCTACTGCGGGAAAAAAAAAACACACATTTTTTTTCTGACTCCTTTAAAACTGATCTTTAATGCATACATTCCCCAAACGCTGCTCGCCCTAATCCCGGGGAAGCAGGCAGGCCCTGAATGCCCGCGGTCCCCCCCCAAGACACGATCGCTTTATAAGCAGCCCCGTGGAGGTTAGGGGGCTGCAGTCCACCTGGGACCCTCGAGGAGGGACCTCGGGCTCCTCTGCCCTGCCAGGCCCCCCCCCCACCCCCCCCGCAGCATGGCCTCCAAGCTGAAGGAGCGGAAAGTGAGTTGGAGCCGCGGCCGGCCCTTGCGCACCGGGGCTCCTGCACTGGGCGCTGGGAGCGAGGCCACGCGGGGCCACGCGGGAGGCACAGGACCTCGCTCCCGGGAGCAGAAGGCCCTTGGGTCCCGAGCAAGAAGCGTGGGAGTGGGGCCCTGGGTGCAGGGGCCCCGTGAGGGGAAGGGCTCCGTGCGCCCGGGGCTCAGGTGAACGCACACGCTTGTGCCCCGCAGAGGACCCCGGTGTCTCACAAAGTGATCGAGAAGAGGAGGAGGGATCGGATCAACCGCTGCCTCAACGAGCTGGGCAAGACGGTGCCAATGGCCCTGGCAAAGCAGGTAGGCGGCGGGTGGCGCGGGCTCCCCGGGCCGCCCCGGCGAGGGGGATCCCAGGGCAGCGCCCTGAGCCTCACTGCCCGGCCCGGCCCGGGCTGGGCTGGGCTGGGCTGGGCTGGGCGAGGCGGGGCTGCCTTGCCCTCCCCCACGGGTGTGCAGAGCTCGGGGAAGCTGGAGAAGGCGGAGATCCTGGAGATGACGGTGCAGTACCTGCGGGCCTTGCACTCTGCCGACTTCCCCCGCGGCAGAGAGAAGGGTAGGCAGCGCCCCCGCCGGGCCCGGCCCCGCTGCCCCGGGGCGCGGCACTCACGCGGCCCGCTCCCTCCCCGCAGAGCTGCTGGCCGAGTTCGCCAACTACTTCCACTACGGCTAACACCAGTGCACGAAAGACCCTGGGCACCAA